TCCCCCCCCCCCCCCCCCCCCCTCCCCCGGGTCCCCTTTCTTGCTCCTTTCTATTATTTTCCTTTTTCTATTCCTCTTACCTCCCATCTTTCCTACACCTCCTTTCTTGCCTTCTTTCTTCCTTTTTTTCTTCGCCATTTTCTTTCCTTTCTACCTCTCTTCTTCCCCCTCCCACGTTTCTTCCCTTCCTTTCTACATTCTTTTCTTTCCCCTTTTCCATCCTTCTTCCATCCCTTCTTTCCTCCTCCCCCTTTTTCCCTTCCTCCATACCGTATTTCCTTCCCTACTACCTTCTGTCTGTCTGTCATCTTCCATGCACTATAACATGACCGTAATTGCGTCGGCGTGCTTTTCTTTGCTCAAACTCAGTGGGTGGTTGGTGGGTGCTCTGATGTGGTTTACTCCTTCTTTTCTATCAAACATTTATGGTCACTATCTCTCATCCTTCTTTTTTTGTGTTTGTTACTCTCTTGTAACCCCCTAATCTTCGTCACTTCGCTACTTTAGGATTACCAAAGTCTAACTGACATCTGCATTGTGGTTGAGTTACTACGACCATGAGGTCAGAAACCAAGTCGTTATCAAGATATTCAAAGAAATGCATTCGAAAAAGCTTGACCAAGTTGAGAAGATCAACATTTTTTACATCAAATTTTTCAAAACTGGGGCCTATATCATCTTATTGTGTTTCACGTGAGGAAAAACTCTTACGAAAACTAAAACATGACTCAAACTCACCCCCCCACCCCCCCTTCCACCAGATATCTCTCAGAGCGGAATGTACATGTGTCGTATCACCCCTACTATCGGCATTCGGCGGCAGGTGTATGAACGAGTTTCCGCAGAGGAGCTTGGGAACTCCGACATCGTGACGCTCTTCCGGTCGCTGCGAGATGACGTCAGCGAGTTAACGGAGGCAGTGAATGCCGAAGTGTGCAGTCCAGGACAGGTAGGTTTGAGATTTATTAATTCATATTTATTTATTCTTCTATTTATGAATCTACTAATTTCTTGATTAGCTTGTTTGTTTGTTTGCTTGTTCGTTCGTTCAATTTCTTCTTCTTCTTCTTCTTCTTCTTCTTCTTCTTCTTCTTCTTCTTCTTCTTTCTTCTTGAATGATCTAAGTTGTGTCGAGGGGGGGCGTAAAACACAAACCGACGTTGTTGTTTTTTTTACCCTCGTACTCAACAGGCCCTTCAGATATCCCAGCTGAGCTTTTTCTTCTTGAAATCAGCCCGATTACTAAATTTCTAAATCATTCACTAGTCTAGTGGTTAGGCTACAGGACTCGTAATCGTGAGGTGGAAGGTTCAGGGGTTCGAACCACAGGCCCGTCGTTGTGTCCTTCGGAAAGGCACTTTACACGAACTTTTTTCACTTCACCCGGGTGTGAATGGGTAGAGTCTACGCAGCTAGAAACAGCAGAAGTCTGTTAAGTTTTTAGCGCCTGTAAAACGACAGCTTGCACTATTATGTGCTTCTCGATATTGTTTCACTTGAGAATGCTATCAGGTGTGCTGGGGTAATAATAGAATATATTGTAAAGCCCATAGATCTTATTGTTTCACTTCAGAATGCTATCAGGTGTGCTGGGGTAATCATAGAATCTATTGTAAAGCCCATAGATCTTATTGTTTCACTTGAGAATGCTATCAGGTGTGCTGGGGTAATCATAGAATCTATTGTAAAGCCCATAGATCTTATTGTTTCACTTGAGAATGCTATCAGGTGTGCTGGGGTAATCATAGAATCTATTGTAAAGCCCATAGATCTTATTGTTTCACTTGAGAATGCTATCAGGTGTGCTGGGGTAATCATAGAATCTATTGTAAAGCCCATAGATCTTATTGTTTCACTTGAGAATGCTATCAGGTGTGCTGGGGTAATCATAGAATCTATTGTAAAGCCCATAGATCTTATTGTTTCACTTGAGAATGCTATCAGGTGTGCTGGGGTAATCATAGAATCTATTGTAAAGCCCATAGATCTTATTGTTGAGCGGGAATTTGCGCTTAACAAATTATTCTATCTATTATTATTTGTTTTATTATTACTATTATTGTCAGTATTACCATAATCATCATCATCATCATCATCATCATCATCATCATCATCATCATCATCATCAT